GGGTGGGTGGATGGATGGATGGATGGATGGACGGACGCATGCATGTTTTGATGTTTGCCAAGGTTAGTATGGTGGTTTGAGTGTTACACTAAGAGTAAGGAGGAAACACAGGTTCAGTTCCACATTCAGTCCTGAAGCTAACTGGGAAATTATCTTCAATCTAAATTACATCACAGATTGTTGTGAGGATTAAACAAAGAATGAGAGCCCTACAAAGTGCAGGAAGCAACCTGAAGTTGATATAGACTAAGAGAAGCTCTCCATGGGGATTTTATATAATACAAATGCTTATTTTAATCCTTCTCTGATAGCAGGGAATATACAATATATCATCTTCATGAAATAAGAGAGACTGGAGTTGGGCAATAGTGGTGTGAAGCAGTGAACCAAACAATTTCCAGATGAGGGAGAAGAATAAATAATTAAAAGAGGTCCATGAAATAATAATGTACTTTCTACAGAGAAAGGGGAAATCTCAACTATATTAATAATGTTATTGTTTTCATTAAGGAAGTAGCCTAGGAGAGCTTTACAAACTATACTTCTGTTGTATAATGTTAAAAAAAAACTCTCAGCCTCCCAAATGAATTTGGGAAACAATATTTCCCATGTTATAAATTACTGCAGGTATAAGTTGCTGCTGTTGATGAAATTTATTATTTGCTTTTCAGTTCCGAATATTTAAAGTGTTGTACAATAAAAACCAATCACATGTATAAATAAAACTAACAAAACTAATAAAAACAAGAATTCAAAAATAAAACCCAGGTAAAGCTCTCTCAAATACCCAAGCTTTAATTAAAAACGTTTTAAAAGGACAGATATATTGTAAGAAGGATTCCTGTTGGCAGGGTTTCCAAAGAACCAAACTCCTTTAATTGCTATATACCAAGTCCTGGTTGTGAGGATAAGGAAGCCAGGGTTTAGCCATTTTCTCTTGAGCTTGGCCCATACCTCATGGTGTGCATTTCATAGGCACTGTCCAATAGATGCCCATTAAACTTCCACACACAGTACCCAGTATTATAATAGTCTGAGATGTTTGTGTAGAGAAACAATTTCACCATTGTTGCACTCAACACAGAGGACATGTTCTGTGTCAGCTATACAAATGGGCTTTTAATCTTCCCAGTAATCAAGATAATAGTTTGAATGCTGGAAAATATAATGTCCTTGCAAAAGATACAATATGTGGAAGGAAGATAGTGGAATACCCTGATAAAACTAAGTAATGAATGGTCCCCTGGAACTCAATCTATTGATTCTGCCATGTTGGTAACCCCCTTCTCCACCTGCCTTAGCTGGGACCGGAATCAGAAGCGCCGTCACCATTCTAGTCAGCAAAGTGAGTTGCAGCAGCAGGAGAGCCAGCAGCCATTAACAGACCTGTCACCTGCCACGGTCAGCATCCTGGGACCCTACAGCGATTCGCAGGTTCCTACACCAGAGATGGTGGAAACGGGACAAGTACTGGAAGGCTTGGAGAAGCTGGAGGGTCTAGGGAAGTCCAGTGCCTTCCAGCTCAACAGGTAAATAACAGCAGCAGGACAATATTTGGGTTGGTTTGATCTGGCTTTGGGCAGAAGAGGAGGGGAAAACAAGTGAAAATCAGAGTAGAAAAAAAAATCAGAGGGATGTGAACAGTTGATTTTGTGTGCAGGGTTAATGCAATTCTGCTTGAGCCACATATGAAAACAGATTCTACATTTCAATGCTGGTTTTGTTTCCACTTAATGTTTACAGTCTAGACTTCCTCAGACATGATGCTTGGAAGAAACCAGTGGAAAAGGGACAGTTTCTAAATGAAAAGTGACTTTGTAAAATTTTGTGAATTTTATAACACAATTATAAAGACTATCACGGGGAATGTAACAACTTTTTCATTCTACTCATTTCAAAGTATGTCACCATTTTCATAAATCCTTTTTCCCCCCAGCTTTTGTTCTTTGGGAGATATGCAGTTCTCCTTTTCAGTACACACTGATTTATGCTATGGCTTTTTTCCAGTGATATAAAAAGTGATCAGTAGTAAAAATTTGCTCCTCCATTCCATGGCATTAAAATGTATTGTTTTTTATTTTACAGAGGCATCTCTGTGATAGCAGAGAAGGTAATTAACAGAAAAGGACTACTGCACCAGCAATATCCCTAGAGCAGGATTTTTCAAACTTTTTCAGGCTGTGGAACCTGTTAGATAAAGAAATTCCAGAAACTTTGATCAAGTGGCAACACTCAAGTGATGGAAAATTGGCTATGTTTGAGTGATTTTTTTCCTCTAGTCCAGTGTTGTCCAAACTTGGCCACTTTAAGATGAGTGGACTTCAACTCCCAGAATTCCCCAGCCACTGCTGTACC